TATTACTTGTAAATTTTTACAAGTAAGTTTTTTGAATTGAAAATTCAATTCGTAAATTCATACGGGATGCGGGATTTGCATCTCACATATGAAAGACGCCGAATACCCCCCTAACTAATTTTTAAATTATTGCGCAAAAAACTCGTATTGCGTAAAAAATCGTATTATTTATTTATTTATTTAATTACCCTGATCGCTCTTTTGTCTAATTTAAATTTGAGTTTAATTAAAATTTTAGGTAATTTCAATTTTATCTAATTTTAATTTTAGTCTAAAATTTCAAATACATCGTAATAGCATTTAATTTTTCCGTCACAAAAATGGATCAAAACTTTATTTATTATTACTCTCCCACGCTGCATGATCACGTGGTTCCTTATGCGCAACGTTTCACCTTATTTCTTACACCATAGGCGCACTGGTCTAGTCAAACTGCTACCTGGAGGTCCCGAGTTCGAATCCGCTCACCACCTAAGGATTTTTTCCGGGCCGGTCCCTTTCAACCAAGCTTATCGGTTGATTGGCGAACTAAATCGGGCCTCCAAAAATTAATTCAGGTGTAATCCCGAATTAATTCCTCTCCCACAAGGCGATCATAGTCACAACATCTTGAATACGAGCCCGACACAGATGGGCACGCCCACTGTGAAAGAAGGCCGTGTATCGCGTGGTAGTAGTTATACTGCACAACCCTCCCTGTGACAAAAATATAACTAATAATTAATTAATTAATACGGACTCCAGATATCTAGGGTCTACTTGACTTATCAATTTTCAAAAAAAAAAAAGACTCCTAGAATGGCGTATAGACTAACCTTGAGGTCCTCTGAGCTAATATGCACCAATACCAATAGTCAGACTGCTACAATGTAGTGATATGACCTTGTTGTAAAATCAAAATCATCTTCCTATTGATTATCTCTCATTTTATTTTTATACTTTGATTTTGTAATATTCCTATTAAATTCAACATATTTTTATTAAAATTGTGTTAGACAATTTTATTTCATTTTTGAAACTTTATTTTAAACAGCGCGCTGTATAAAAGCTCAAATTCTGATTGGTCCAGATCTGAGACCTCCGCCATTACCTGCGCAAGGGTTTACCTTTTTTAGGCCTGTTCTACAATACAGTCGTAAGCCGTAAGTCGTGAGAAATTGACTAATCACAATCGATTATTCTTCTGTGATTTGACCGTGATTGGTCAATTTCTTACGACTTACAACTTACGACTGTATTTTAGAACAGGCCTTATTATGGCTAGTCTACAATGAAGGTAGTAAGGCTGTAGGAGTAGAGAGTAAACTATTGTTCGGTGGAGAAACGAGACGGGAATAACAAAATGGGCAATTCCCATTTCGCACTGCGTACTGCCTTACTGTTAGCCAATAAAAGACGTGTGTTAAAAAACGCAAAATAATTACTTGTATAGGCAAAAATAAAAGAACTCCAAGAACCTTACTTCTTAAGGTACCTTTTCATACAGCAGCACGCTGCGGCAGCAAAACATCACGTGACTTAAATTTTCTAGGACTGCTTCCGGTAGGTATATTTGCTGCTCTTATCTAACCCTTACTCGATGCCATTCTTTGGAAAGTTCAAACGAATAAAAAGCAACAAAACCGGGAAAATTTTATTGTTGATACTTATGCAATAACTATATAATTTCATCAACACAAAGAATGACATCGAATGAGGGTTAGGTAAGAGCAGTGAATATACCTAGCAGTCCTAGAAAATTTAAGTCACGTGACATTTTGCTGCCGCAGCGTGCTGCTGTATGAAAAGATACCTTTACCAGAGAGAAATCTGAGAGCGGCCATCCTATTGTAATTTTTTACGACGGTTTCAGCCGCTGGTTTTAGCCGTATTTCCACAAAAGTGGAACTCAAAGGCCGTTCTACATTAAACGCAAGT